ATCTTATCATATTATTAAATATAATTGATAGAGGAGTTTATATGCCATCTAAAACTAGTTTCATGCATGTACCTATTGATGTTTAAATTTACTTAGTTTCGACAATCGTAAAGTTAATCACGGCGGTGCATCATTGAAATTTTACAATATAAACCAAAAACTGAAAGTTGTACATTTTGTATTGTTACTTTGTCACTTTAATGTGCAAAAACTTCAAACTATTATGGAGTTAATAGCAACAGGTCAGTTACATTGTATTAATTCCATAATTATTTTTGTTTTTTATATTGGATATGTAAATTACATTAAAATATAGTGAAATATTGCTTAGTCATTCTTTTATAATTTTATAATATTGATGTAAAGTTTAAGTTCACCTAGGATTCTTTTCGAGCTTTAATTTTTGTGAAATATAACAGGTAATATTGCTGTAATGTGCGAACAAAGGCAAATTAAAAAAAAAATAACAGGTTATTGAGTATTCTATCATATCAACGAAAAAAATTTACACATATTTGTACTATTTAGTGTAATAGCTTTTATCGTCAGAGTCACATAACAATTTCGTACGAATATTTCATAAAATAATATTTTTTGTTATACTTATTTTTATTTATTTTTTGCGTATAAGAATAATGATTTGTTTGATGAATTTAATTAGTTTTTAATACATAATTGTTTTAGGATCGGGCAGTGTTGATATTTTTCTGACTCGTAAATTCTTATTTCAAAAATGAACGAATCTGATCAAACTAAATTGAAAGATCAAGTTGTATTTTTAAAAAAATATTTAGAAAAACGTACTAATTGTCCAAAGTCTAAAATATCAGAACTGAATAAAAAAATATCATACTTCGTCTCTGATTTCAAAAAGAAGTGGTTAAGTTCTTATAGGATGAAAAATAGATTTGAGACTAAAAACTCTGTTTGGTTAGAAACATCATTAGGTTTCCCAAATTATAAACTTTCTTCTGGAAATTCTGGAGTAGGTAAAATTAGCTTTGACTCGGCATCAGAGAGAACTAAGCGGATGAAAACTCAACATTTGAGAGCTTCATCTTTTACTGATGAATTATGTCATGCAGCACATATGAGTTTGTGTGCATCAGGTAAAACTAGAGCTCCCTATTTCACGTGTATACGTTTTAACGTGCTCACGTGAAATTAAGGTTTAATTTATAAAACCCGTTGCTTAAAATTTCACGTGTATTTATAATTTTATTCACGTGAATCCGTGACTTTATATAACCACGTGAATACGTGAATTTACATAATCATGTTTGTCGCCATCGGTCCTCGTATATAATGACTATGGATTAACTAGGCCTGATATTAAGTACAAATGTCTAGGTACCTACGTATAGTAAATAATATTAATAACTTATGTTTTAAATTATGACGTAAATAATTTAATATTAATTAATATACATAAAACTTCGTGAAACAAATTTAAGCAAATGGATAATATTATAACAAATAATGTACAAATAAATAATAATCTAAAATATTATAATAAATAGATTATGTAATAATAAATTATGTATAAATAAATATTGATCTAAGAAATTATAATAAATAGATAAACAAAATAATGAACGAAAAAGACATCTTATTCATAATTTTTAATTATTTTTTTATAATATAATAGTGGTCTTGCATCCCCGTGATGCCCATCTACACTCAAAAATATATTTAGAGCAACAATTTTCGATTTTGGTATAAAAATCAATAAAGTCACGAAAAGGGATTTCATTACATACATATAGGAATTTTTATTCGTATTTATGATAATTGTTTACGATTTTATATTGTACAATTGTAACTTGTAACGTTCAATCAAAATGATGGTATCAGTGAGTGAGTTCTATTTTCACAACCGGACGCCGTGAATAATTCACGGTGAATTACTACGAGCACATAAAGATTTCCCGGCACACAACTACTTATCCAACAACTAGATAAGTCACATGCGACGGGCACTACAGAGTTCAATAAAAGATCATGAAGCTAATCAATAAACTTATAAATACATTTTCAAATAAAATAAACAAAATAAATAGTACCTAAAATCGGTTTTTGTAATGCAATATATGACCACCATGTTGGTATCATTAACAAAATTAACAAACTCTTTATATTTTATAAATAATTATTTTTTATACAATCAAATTTTTGATTAATGCCAGTTCACGTGAATATATTAATTCACGTGATCACGTGAATATGATTCAGATACGTGCTCACGTGATTAAGCTTTCGTTGATTGCCGTGTATTAACCATACGTGATTTATTTTGATTCATTCACGTGATCACGGTATACGTGAACACGTACAATTATATTCACGTACAAAAACGTGATCCCTAGGTAAAACTGATACGGCAAATTTAGTAAAAGAAGTTACGAGTACAACGCCAAAACGCGCTACTCGTTATAAATAAGCTTTCAACCGATGGGAGATGTCAAAACGTATTGAGTTGTCACCAGAGGAAGCATTAATGCTTAAACCCATGGGTTGTCTATGTTTGTAGAAGCTGAACTTACGGAGCATCAATATAATATCATAAGAAAAAAAGATAAGGAAAGATTCCCATCATATAAAAAAATTCAACTAGCAAAAAAAAAAATGTTATCCAAAAAGGCAATATATTTCAATTACTGATTCAACTGTTGATATAAAATTGCAAGGATTATTAGATCACACAGTTTTACGCCTTATGCAAACTCAATATGAAGTGATTGAAAAACAAGAAAATTTACAAAAATTAAGTTTAATTACTAAGTGGTGGTTTGACGGATCGTCTGGTCATTCAGAATATAAACGAAAGTTTATAAATAGTTCCATTAATGATGCAAGTATTTTTTTGACTTCATTCTAAGGCTCATATCTGGTGATCCTGAAATACCAACACAACAACAAATTGTGCTTTGGAATAATTTAAGATCTTCATCAACAAGATATTGTCGTCCTATTAGATTCCAATTTGCTCATGAGACAACGGACCTTGCTAAAAAAGAAAAAGACTATATAGGAAGTCAAATACGTGAATTATTACCCACAATATATGAAATAAATGGCCGAATAATTGAAATTAACCACAAATTATTATTTATAATGGTTGACGGTAAAATATGCAATTCATTGACAGAAACAACTTCAACTATGAGATGTTTTTTATGTAATTTAACATCGAAAGACTTCAATAATATTAAAAAGTGCAAAGCAGCAAAAATAGTATGCGAGTCTGCATTAGAATTTGGTATGTCAACGCTTCATGCTTGGATACGTTTCTTCGAATGTCTATTACACGTAGCATACAAATTACCATTAAAAACCTGGCAAGCTCGTGGTGTAGAAAACAAAAAAATTGCCGAAACCACTAAAAAATAAATAATAAAAAAATTTAAAAATCAACTTGGGTTAATAGTTGATAAACCAAAACCTGGGTATGGAAATAGGTTAGGCAATACGGCTAGACGTTTTTTCGAAAATGCAGATATATCAAGCAGTATTACTGGAGTAGATATAGTCCGTGACGGTGCTAGAGTTTGTGAGACCCTGGGCAAAATTAATGTTGGGTCTTATAATTTATATTAAGTTAAGTTCAGTTAAATCAGAACCGCGGGGCCTTAATTATAATTTAAGACGCGGGGCCCTGGGCAACTGCCCCTATTGCCACCCCCTCGCGCCGTCCCTGGATATAGTGATAATCAACAGATTTCGAACTATTTTGAAAACTATGGCTAGCGGTTATATAATAAATCTAAAACTGTTTGAAGAATATACTCTTAAAACGGCACAATTATTTGTAGAAAAATATCCCTGGTATAATATGTCACCTACTATACACAAAGTATTAATCCATGTAACAACAATAATAGAAAAAGCTATACTTCCTATTGGACAGTTAGGCGAGGAAGCGCAGGAAGCAAACCACAAAATGTTTAAAAAGTACAGAGAAGAATTCACACGTAAATTTTCTCGTCAAGTAACCAATGAAGACATAGTCAATAGGTTGTTAATTTCGTCAGATCCGTTTATCACAAGTATGCACCAACCAATGAAACGGAAATCCAATTTAAATGCAACTATTGTCCAATTGTTACAATCGCCAGATTTTAATGATTCAGATTCATCTTCTTCGTAAATAAGTGAAAATTAATTCATTTAAATATTCGTTTTTATTATTCATGTTATTTATTAAAATATATATTTATAACCACATACTTGGTTATATATTGCCATTGTAAACCTATGTAAGATTATATGAACACAAGTTTGAACTATATTTATGATGTGTAATGTGATACAAAATAAAAATAATAACAAAAATAATTGTTGCCAACTTTTTATGTCACCGGCCTGTGTATCGATTATACTGGAAACATCATGTACCGCAAATAAATAGCAAATTAAAGAAGAAACACGAAAGTTTTACTGGTTAGTCGGATCCCACTCCGAGTTAACTGTAGAAAATAAACGTCTTTTATACTTGGCGTTATGATATCAATCTGGATCTATGGAATTCAACTGTGAAGGTTGTGCTAGCAAGTCTAACATTGATATAATACAACGATGTTAAAACATCACTGGCAGTCTACCGGTTCGAAAAAACGAAGCAATTCACCGAGATATGAAATACAGAGGTTTGATCGCAAACACGAGAACAGGCTAAATCACTATGTCAATATGATGGCCTTCTAATTATAAGACAAATTCGAAGACATTAAACATCTTAACCGTTTGAAACCTTACGACTTATTTTAAGAATTTAAATTAATGTAAGAACCACTTCATTGTAAGTGCAACTTCATCGATGTGTACAATATATATTTATGTCTAGTAAGTATGTATTAACAATTGTAAGACATATTTATAAAGATTTTTGGATCGTTGAAATAATCAAGTCCCAGGGCATTGAAAAAGAACATCCAGATTAGAGTTCAAAGATTTTTCGACCATTAAAAATATGATTTTCAAAAAATGCATCAAACACTTACGACTAGCTTCATATTCCTCACATATGACCGACCACGGTTTTGAAGAATACTTCATGAGTTTCTTCACTGGCTTCTCAGATTTCTTCGATTTGCTGTAAGATTCAACAGTCGCCATTTCTAATGATCTATTAAAATCACTTGAAATATGAAAATTGAAAAGTTAAGGAAAATACAGAAAACTGTTACAATATTCGATTATGAAAAATTAATAGTATATTTTCCAAAAAGAATAAGCTTATAACTGTCGCTGTTTTTTTTTTCTTTATACTATACGTTGGCCTAGATACAAATAAATCAAATCATTATTCTATCGTTGATTATCGATTATTAATAAATAACGATTGTATAAAACAATTTAATTCCATGCCATATAATATGTTTATAAAGCTTATAACTGCACCATGTATAGTTACAGACAAATTAATTTATATATATTTATTCTTATAGGTTTTATCAAATATAAATTACCTACAGAGTTTTCAAGGACGTTCAAATAAGGGGCTACTTATTTTATTTTGGGCTATGTATAAGGAGAAAAATACATCCTATACCCTGATGTACGAGAAAAATATACTTCAAATGCTCACTTTGTCTTAAATGTAAAACATTTAATGGCTTTAGCATTTATACCTATACCTGACGTCGATTATTAGGACCTATTATTTTTTTTTATTATTATTAAACAACATTTTATTATGTTTATATATGTATTATATGTTTATATTATATTATATTGTAATGTATTGGGAAAATAGTGACGGGTAGTGACACGATAGGGGAAGAGCAGAGGGAGCCATGACTCCGGGCCCACAACGGATATCAAACAAAAGTGGATCCCTGGTGGATATTAGGTTTTTTCGTTTTTATAACTCTTTTTTTTTTAGTGTTAGTATAAAAACAAATATAGAACGAACAGTTCTCAAGAAAATTGAAATTGTTTTATAGTTTTGTGTTCAGAGAGTGATATTTTGGACGTAATTAATACTGATGATATAATTAAAAAGCTTGTTTCCCACAAATCAAGGAAAAAAAATATTTATACAAATAACATTTTTATTTTTGTGTTTAAAAAAGCAAGAAATAAATTTATAAATTAGAATATAATATTTTTTTTTGTATAATATTAATGTGCCAATCACCAATATTTTGATTATAGTTATGGGCACCTAAAATTGTTTGGGCCCGGGTCCTAAATTATCATCATCCGGACTTGAGTACGTTAGGATATCTAATAGGGTCAGGTCATACCCACAAATTAATTATAGCGACGTAAAAATTTTTTTTTCGTTGACATGTGTCCTTTTTATGTATAAAACCTGTATAGGTGTACCGTAATATGTATATTTACATGAAACATACATAACATAATACATATTTATATAGTACCTATACTATCCAGAAGACTGGTACCGAACTGATTCCCATGAAAACCAAGTTCGTTGGTTTTCGCTTTTTAATTACGCACATTATCCTTCTCAATTTTACAGCCTTAGGACTGTCAACTTTAAAGTAGGCTTGGTTATAAATGTGTGATCAGTTATCACTTAATATATAAAATAAAATAATTTAAAATTTAAGATCATTAAGCTGATGGGTTAACCATGTAAATTTAAAGCAAACTTTCTTAAAAAAAATGGAAAAGTTTTCCATTTATGTACTCAGTCATACAGCTTTCCAAGTATTGGTTATTAATTTTTTGTTTACTGTTAAGTATCCTTGTATTACTACTGTGAAATTTAATGCAATTTAATGTTTCAGTACTGTTCAAAGTCTCCATAAAATAATATATATGCTGCTGGAAAATTTTTTATTTATCTTTAAATAGAACTTTTCGAAACAATTTGTAGTCCTATCAATATTTTTAACAAATCAATACAACATTTTCAGTGGAAAGGTTAGGTTAGTTAAAGAACCTATCCAATGTTGGAGAATGGTTTCATGGTTATCAAATCATTAAAAATATTTCGGATGATAAAAAGGTTAGGGTAAATCAAAAAGTATTTTTAGAAGTTGACCGATTTCCGAAGAATACATATGATTTCATATTGCAAAATAATGCTTAGAAATGAAAATTGTAACTAATTGACCTGAACATAAACGGGAATTAATTTAGCTACTCCCTATAATATGTAGAATTTAAATAATACCTAAATAAATCGTGTTTAATTATCAAAATTAATGTAAACATATTATAATGAGTATACTGATATTTTCCTTAATCATACATGATTTTTTAAATATTACACGATTATTAGTTACTTATGAAATATTTAACTACTATAAACACAAATATACAATTTAGTAATAATAGTAAATAAATGCATTTATCTTATCGGCGTATGGCTCAATTATAGCAAAAATTAAATTAAACTTAATTTATTAACTTTGTTACCTGTATAAAATGTAAAATACGACTGCATTACAGCGTTGAAGTGTCTGAACCATATGACTACTAATCTATATACACTGTATTTTTAAATATATATCTATTAATCTTAAAAAAAAAAATCAAATATTTATATATAATAATGTAATAAATATATATTTGTATGGACGCAATAAATGTACCAACAATGATAAAAATAAAAAAATAAATTTTTAGACAACGTAGTTTTACGCTTTTAATTAAATATACTATTATATATAATTATATATATAATACTCGTATGTATTTAAAGTATCTATAAATGTTATATTATTACTCAAAAAACAATAGTTTTACTCAATAATATATAAATAATAATAATTTCAAAAATATGTTGGTTCTCATTTAAATTTTAAAATTTACAATTCTTTTCTTTAATCTAATACAAATTTAACAATTATAAGATTCATTTAACTTTAAAGATTTTATATTTTATCACACTTACAAAATTTTTCTATTGTACTCGTAAATATTTACAGATAGCTTTTACGTATAAAACGTAAAAGAGGCAGTACCTTTAAATTATAATGTGAATATAGTATTATCTATTATATAGGTAATAATGGTGTACCCAAAATTAACAAATCATTAAATTTAAATCGAAAAACTGTTAAAGTTCATTTTGAATTTAAAAAGCTTCAACATCTCGGGCTCAATAAACGTTATAAACATACTATAAATTTGGAATCTCCGATCGTTTTTTTACTAATGAAGTAGAGTAGAAGTGGTTTTAATTTTTGTTATCTATAAGTATGATTATAATATCCATTATTATTATTGGTCTTAGACCAATTGTTTTTTTTACTTATTATATAATAAATATTCTCCGATATCGATAAACATTTATGTGAACCCGTTTACGACCACCCATTACTGGAGTTGTGTACAGATGTCGATTCCAGTACGACAGACTCGCAGGCTCGCGCAATAACATATACAACGCACGACCTAATATTCCTATTTGAGCACTATAACATACGAAGATTTACACAATTTTTGCATAGTTATAAAAAGGTCAAAGGGCAAACAGTAACATGATGTATATGCAATAATATAATATTTTCGTTGCGCAGCAAAAACATGTTCGGTAAAAAAAAAAAAAAAATGTTAGTGATAAAGTATGTAAGAACGTTTAAAGGCGGGGCTAAGGTACGTATACCTACCTATGTGTGTGCGGTGGGTACTGTTATCGGATATTCATTAAGAATACCTACATCGACGTACAGCCCGATAGCCGAATAGAATCTTTTCGTAATAATATACGCTCAACAGTCGGTCGTGCATACAGTGTGCTGCAGAAGTGACCAGCGGTAGCCTTTCGGTGTTTCCTTAAAGCAAAGTAAAATTATTAATTATATAAATGCGAACATTTTTATAAATTATAAAAATATCAAAAATGACCAATTCTCTCAATGGCATGAAAAAAAACACGTTTTCTTCTGCTTTTTTTCAGTTGACGATTTACAAACAAACGTGAATTATGAGTTAGTGTATTATCGTCAGTTTTAAATATATATATATATATATATATTTACAAGTATATAATAAAATATATTTTAATATTAATGATATTATACATAACATATAACATGAGTGTATTTTGTTTCTTAAAATGTTTTATACTTTACCTGATCAATTTTTTTTCTATGGTGTAAGACAAACTATAAGTAAATAGACAAACTTAGGATCGTTAAAAAGTTTGTGAATCCATGTTATTATTAAAAATCTCACCTAATTAGTATCCTAATATATGGTTGTTTTTCAGTAGCCGAATAAATTTTGGTTTAACAACAGGAAACAACAATCTAATACATTTTTAAATTTTAAATGATTAATTTTTTATTTAATGTATTATTATAAAGGAACCGTAAAATAATTTTAAAGAGAAAAGTCAGCTACAGTACGGAGAGATCTAGGAGTTGAGTTACTGAGAAAAAGTAAGGGTCTATATTAATAAGTAATAACTAAATAAGTAGGTATATGTTTTATAGCTATTTTTAGTTATTTATTATTTATTTCACGCTAGAAAAATACATAAAAATACACTGTAAAATCATGATATAAAATTCGCCCCTCCCTATAAAACGGTCTAGTGACACCACTGATCAGTGGTATTATTTGTAATAATAAATGTATAAAACAGTTATAAAATGATGTAGAAGTATTATCAAGCTATACATTTTGGATGAAGAAGTGAGTAACTAATCTCCGTTATTTTCCTAAATTTTTATGCGAAGGACTTCCTCAGTCGTCAATGTCACGGCGTACGCTTTTTCTGATTAGCGTAGAGACGGCTTTAAATAAATAATAAATAAAAATACTCTACACAACATGATTGAGTAGTAAAGAACATTTAAATACTTAAAATTTGTATCGACATAATTATGAGCGACTTTGGCGGACACGTTACTGCTAATTTTTTTCGAAAAACACTAAATGTCATCGTAGAGCACACAAAAATAGAAATGTACTGAGTATGTGTAATCGGTTTCGCCGACATGTTACATTCGTTGGCTTTATACATTCGCAAGGGTTTTGGAACGTATGGTGTAAACATTTTATGCGCAGGTACTTGCATTTACGCAAACACGAACACACGCAATAGCATTAAGAGGCCGGGAGGGGATGGGCTTGTATTCATAAATGGACTGCCCAAACGGAAAACTAAATACGTTTAAAAAAAATAAAATTTACTCTTCTCATAATCTCGAGGGGTTATCCCTCGCCTTCCCTCGTCTTGGTACGCCGATGCTGAAAAGCGCACCGCAGCGTGCTTGGACCTGTATTTGGGAACAGCGAGGGTGGGAATTCACAAATCGGACCGAATATAAATTAAAAAAAAAAAATTCGAATCTTTAAAAAAAAGGTTCAATAGGCTATCCTCTCCCCCTCCAGAAGATGCGCCGCTGCACAAACGCGCGCGTCCTACAAATATACGTTTCGGTGCACGACGATCGGCATGTATGTATTACCGGGATGTACGACGCGCGCGATGCGCCGCCGCAGCAAAAAGTGCAACGGGCCGGTTGTGGCGCACCGACGGGGCGTCGTGACGTGCGGTGGCGACGGCGTAGCGTCGGTCGCGGTCGTCGACGGTCCCGGTAGAGCCCGCGTCGTCATTCCCGTGCAGCAGTGCCATTCGGCCGGACCTAGTCGCGCGGACCGATAACGCCATTGCCGTAACAGCGCGTGAACTTCGTACACGTTTTTTTCGCCGTCCCGCGTTTCCTTCGACTTACGTCCAGTCGATCCGCGAGAAAAAAACGTAAAAACACAATACTTAAACCCATACTAGTACGTACGGCACCGCGCGCTGTCCGTCCCCGAGGGCGGTGAACTGCTGACGGACACGGTACTGTATACGAGTTTTTAACCGTTTTTCATTTTTTTTTCTTTTTTTTTTTTTGTTTATTTATTTTCTCTCGGAACAGACGGACGGGATACGGTATAATCTCTTGCCCGACGACGAAGCTGCGCACAGTGCCGTGTGGTGCACAACGTAATTGCGCAACGGACCGACCGACCCCGCAGACGCAACTCGCACACGTACGTAACTGCGTGTCCGGTGACCGCGTTGACCAAGAGTGACCGGTGAAAAGCGATACGCGCCGAACATGTCTTCCAGTGAGTAAAACCACCATCGTTATTGTACAATCCCCGTACGCGCCTGTTCAACCGACCCCCGCCGCCTTCGTGTACCCGGGTATCCGCTACACGCCACTGCGGTGTAAAGTTCCTCGTGTACATATATATTGTATCATGTATTATTACCATCGTCGCTACGGGCGTATAATGTATCGTACGATCGTTTCTCTTTCTCTCTCTTGTGGTTCTTAAACACTTCTCTGAGGCGATAATTGGACCGCGACCGCGTGTTTTCTTACTCGGATCTCTCCGTTACCGATCCCCGTCGTCCAAGTCCGCGGCGTTTCGCCGGTCACAAGGACCTGTCTCGTGACGTTTAGCCTCAAGAGACTCCACCATCGATAAGCTGCCACTCTACACCGCGGTACTCCGAAGACCCTGGTGTGTTAGACGTTATCTGTGTGGTCCCAGGGACCGTGCGAAATCTCGGTCGTCGCGTTGTACGCGAAACAAACATTTTTATGTCCGAACTGACCCTGTACGAAATGTTACCACTCACCGTCGTAAGGTGTAGACACATTTGATTTAGGTTAATCGAAGCTTATCATCAAATTATCAACACCTAATCTAAATGGAATTACCCATTGGCCATTATTATACGGACTGCTATTCTAAAAGTGTACAAAAATGTTGAGATAAATTAACTAATCGGTTACCTACGATAATTATATTTCCAATTTTGAATGATTTACTAATTTTTTTTTGCAGTAGTTTACATGTTCGTATAAACTGTTTGAGTTAGAATAACTCCGGTTTTACGATAATTCTTCATTTGCACCCTTTTAAACAGTCTTCGTAGTTGCTTTCAGACAATTACTAATGAAAAACTTTAAAATTGGCATATTTTCATAACGGGCACATTACCGTATAATCATTTTTGACAGATTTAATATAATTTTGTTTACAATCTTGTCACATTTGTGTCACTATCTAGTTTAAATGTTACAAGATTATCTGTTTGATTACAAAAATTTAATATCCCGTCGAAATTATGAATATAAGTTTAAAATTACTTTTGATACTTATGGAATATTTGTATAAGAATTAAATTAATACTCATAAATGTATAAGATTGCTTTGGGCATTGATCTTTATCCTAAATATGTAATCAATTACTTAATTATTTTATAAATTATTGAGTGATGTAACTCTTAAAAGTAGTTAGAAAAACGATCGCAAGAATTTCCCTAAATTATATTTTATTGTATTTTGAATAAATCAATTGGATTTTAATAACAATTAAATCATTAAAATTATCTTTAGTGCACTTATTGCATTTACACTAAACTTAATCATTAAAATAGAAAGTAATGACCAACCAAATTTGATGATGATAATCTGCAATAAATTGATTTTGCATTCAAATTAGTGTTAATGACCTTAATTAATTTATTTAAAGGTTTATTATCTAACGACATCATACACTACGTTTTCAAAATGTTAAAACTATAAAGATATAAGGTGAGGCTAAACCTTGAAAGGTTCGTATTTTGTAGTAAAAATAATTATTTTAAGTTAAAAATTTTGATTTGTGATTTATAGCCTTTTTGTTTTTTTAATATAAAATTGATAAAAAAATATATAAATTTTTAAAATAGCTGTTCTAAATAAAATTGTTGTAAACCAATAAAAATAAAAAAAAATAATATTAAATTATGAATGAAACTTATTATAAAAGCATTAAAAATTAAAGTTTGCATGTTTTACATTATTTTTATCATTCTTAAAACGAATTTTCTTACATAATAAATAACTAGTTAAAATAAAAATTATCTAATATAAAATACAAACGTCATAATACAAATTTGATTTCTTATCAATTAGTATGTAGTTGTCTTCTAAAAAATTATTGTTGAAATTTTAAACATCTTGTATAAAATATTTGTGCGTTAATAAACTTTGAACTCTATTATCTCAAATATACATTTAGATTATTTGTAAAGAAGAACGTGTTATAAATATATATATTTATATGTGAGTCAGTGTACACATATAATAATATATATTTGCATACACGAAAATGTTGTATGTATTTACCTGAAGGTCTTTAGATATTTTTTTATAGTTTTAATGTCTAATCTTGTTAATTTTAGATTCAAAGTCAAATACCGGAATATAATATTATTATGATTGCATTTTTAATTATTTTACCGATTACTTTAGTATACATATTACATTTTTAAATTAAGATAACCCAAAAAATGACCTACAAGCTATTCTTTTATTTTAGGAAAATTCAATTTGTAGTTATTAAATTAAAATGTACATTTTTTCTTCAAACCATTCAACATGATCAAACATGTGTACGTTATTGGAAGTTTTATCCTTTCATTTTTCACTTAAGTATTAAATTAAATTTAAATTTAATAAACATAAATAAATAATAATTTTAATATAATTTACTATTATAAGACATAATTTATAGTAATCGATCGAGTACACTGATCACACTTTCAATACTCAAATTGTAGTTTATGAATAGGTTTTGAGGAAATCTGTTTTTTGACTCATATTTCGTATCTTAATGCCAAATGTATACCGTAATTTAGGAATTGTTATCGAATAAAGTTACCAGTTATAATAACACTGTTTACTTGAGGTTATTTTTATACAATTATATTAGTAAAATGAGTATTCATTATAGCAGTAAATACAATTAATAATTAATTTATAGATATTTTATTTAATTAATATATGGAAGTCTTAACGTTTTTAAATGATTTTATATTTAAAAAATTATCACGTCAGTTTAAAAGAAATGTTTCAATTTGTTTTTTAAATTTATTTCGTACAAGTATTAAAATATAATTTTACAATTTCAAATATCAAACGAAATAAATCAAAAAACACTAAAAACTCTAGTATAATATACATTTTACATACATATACCATATATATGGTCTAATTTTTGTAGTGAATAAATATTTGTTTAGATACTAGACACAGAAGTAACGACATTCTTTTTATGTCCAAACTTTTAAATGGAACTATATCTTCTCTTGAGCTTCTCAAATTAGTTCGATTCATGTCCTTCAATACATATCTCGTTTTTATACCACCTTCTCCATAAAAAATCATCAAACATCATATGGATATAATAACCCAATGGACCGTATTGAGCGTGAATTCAATTAGTAAATATCTACGTATTCATTATTGAAAATCTAGCATTTCTATAGCTTCTTATTATGATTCCTCAATTATTTACCTATATTTGTACTTTTATCTATTTTACTACAAATATTAATACCTACTTAAGTTAATTAATATTATTTTGTTCTTTACTTCATATTTATGTCAAATACTTCTTAAATTGTATTATGATATATTTATTATTTTGTACTTGAGCATACAAGGGCGTTTAAATATACAAATAAATTAATTTTTTTATACATAAATAAATGATTAGTTAGCATCCAAATATTGTTTAAAGTTTAACTTATGCGTTATATATAATATTGTAAAGCTAATTATATGGGTTTATTTTTGATAAAATATAACGTTTTTCATTTTTTCATGATTATGATTCATTTTACTTAAATATTAATTACTAAACAAAACTGAAATACTACCCTTGTAGAAATGGTTAAGTTTTATTATGCTCAGATGAATTATTTGGAAATATGTAAATTCTTACAAATAATAAATATTGTTGTGTTATAATAATGACTTTAAATCTTTTTTTTACATAAATATTTGTTTTGTTTCTTTTATTAAATATGACCATCTCACATTTCCAACATACTACTTACTTACCTCGACCGATTACAATTTTTCATATCTTTGCAATTATGTCACTGACATTATCTCTCTACAAATTTTTCACTTGTCAGTTTTGGTTTTTTTCTCACGGCAAAAAAATTAAATTTATTAGTAGTTATAAACTATAAAAATATATACATCCTTCAAAGCGATTTAATCAACGAGATAAACTTCAAAATCATCCTCAACCAACTGATCTCCGTAGAACATTGAATTATGGCAACATTTAATATTAATAACGTAATAGTACCGTTTCTCTTAATTTAACCTGAGTAAATCCGAATAGTTTCACTGATGTCAGTAGACTTGAAATGTAATGATGATGTGTAATCATGAATAATGATGATAATGATCTGTATTATGACCTTAATGATCTGAATAGTTGAGCCTTATTATTTTGACCAAGGAACATAATTAAATAATTTTTTTTATAAATTAATACTATACATTTACAAACACAACACAATTTGGATCTCTTATAATTATTTTAACATTTTAGTAAAACAAATTGGGCATGACTATTACAATCACTGTCCCGAGTCTCCAATCATACGTTGTAACGTGTAAACTTTGTTGTGCTTTAACACGTTCACGGCCATCCCACAATTTGAAAAGTCGTATAAAAAGCCTCAACATAAAATTCATAAAATTCCATAGATATTATATAATCCATAGATTGTATATAATACCATAGATATAATATAATACAATCTATGGAATCATGTATTATCTTTGAAATTATACTATGGATTATATAATATCTATGGAATCATGTATTATTTTTGGAAATATAAACAATTTATGGATTAAATACAATATATGGAATTATATACCAAGTAAATAGGGGCGACCGGGGCTAGTTGGGTACCGGGGTAAGTTGACCAAGTCGATTTTTAAAATCGAGCTTTTAAGTTGGACACACTACATCAACAGCATTGTATTATGACTATTGTTGTTTATCACTGTACGAGTTGTAGTGATTATATGATTTTTCCTTAATCTTGTAATCAATAAATATTGTTATCAACTGTCGTTTTTTTTTTTAAACGTTTTAAAAATGTTGTTTTTACCGTGTTAAATTTTTTTTTTAAACATTTACAGCAGAGTAAAACAACTATAAAAGGTATGTAGAACATGATTTAGGTATTGTTTAATTATAACATCGTCTATAATGTTCATAATTCCTTCAAAAGTATAAAAAAATGATTTGGGGCTAGTTGGTCTTCCAAAACTGGGGCATGTTGTCTTGTATAAATTTTTTTAAATAATATAATTAAAAATGTTTGAACTCAAAGGTGAGATAAGTTTTACAGTTGTTATTTTTTTAAATTACTTGTTACAATAATTATTATGTTTGATATATTTTAAAAATACCTACTGTTGAATAAATTAATAAGGAATTTTAATATATTTATATTATAATTTAAAATGTTTTACTTCAAAAGAGAGAATAAAAATACTATTGCTTCATTAATTATTTTAACAATACCTAAATTTAAATAAATGAATAAATGAGGAAAAACTGAATATATTCATATGTGTGACAACTTGCCCCAGTGATCATGTCAACTTGCCCCGTACACGGGGTAAGTTAGTCTGATTATTTTTTTTTAGTTTTATTTTTTTTGTCAATTATGGATTAATAATTAAGATGGCAATTTAAATTAATTATGTAGCCTACAAGTTACTGAACAGTTAGGTGTATTTTAAGCTTTAAAGTCATAAAACTGAATAAATTAAAAATTCTAATGTAAAAAGTGAGCCAACTAGCCCCGGTCTCCCCTACACATAACACAGTAACATTTCTTCTAAAATCTAAATGTGGCATACTTGTTTTTTACTTATTGTACCAATAATTAGCATTCCATAAGCATATGTCCATAGTGTAAAAAAAAACTTTAATATACCATTGTAACAATTTCTTTGGAGTCAGGTAGTATCTTATCATCTGGACTGCTCGGTCTATACCTGATATATTATTATTACAGTCAAAAACTATGGAGGGTTTGAATTTACTCTATCCAATTACAAATTGTTAAAAATCAAACTGTAAACATATGCAAGAATCATACAGTGTCACTCTTAAAAAAAGAAAATAGTATGCCTCCAATAAACACTACTAATATCGCTATCCAGCTGTTGGATTTTAAAACCAAGTACACCAATCGATACATAGAAAACTGTTTAAAAAAACCATGTTATCATAATATTTATTAGAATAAATCAGAGTCAAATAATTATGTATATAAATGAATGGACACCATGTCAACTATACTTGACATGGATTTATCTAATGAGAACTAAAGTTCTAACTATAGTTTACACATGGCCGTGAACGTGTTAATTATTATGTACACAGCCATCAGTAAACTGATCGCGGCACTGCGAACCCCGTTGATGATTAATTTATTAATATTTTGAATAGAAACGTGTTTTTGTTCAGTATAATCGATTGTGAATTGTTTAATTAAATGAATATAATTTTTCTTATAAAAACAAAATACATCAGTAAATCAGTCAATCATTAGATAAATAAATAAACAAATAAAATAGTAATAAGCATGTACAAAAAAATTAAATCCTAAGTTCGCTGGTGAATATCATAGTACAATTATTATTAAAAAGTGAGGATAACATTCAAAGTAAATATTTGTTGCGGTTCCAATTCCCAGTTAAAATGTTATGCGAACATCAAAACGTCTATTTATGTTAAAACGCTTCTATTTTTCACTATTTAAGAGTTTATTGATATATTTTTATATTTTATGGGTTGAATTATAAGCAATAAGATACTAATAGTTACTTAACTCTACAGTAAACCATTTAACGAAAGAACGGGTTTACTTAAAATTATTATTAGAAAATACACGTATTCAATTTTTATCATGACCTCATTAATTTTATGCTTTTACTATTTCGATATACCCCTAATACTTGAATATATACTGAACATTAAAATACATTAATGATTAACGAAAAAATTGTTTTTATGAAATTTTTAAGTTAACATGTATTTTAAAATTGAATAACAAAATTGAACTATAACGATAACTGTAAACAGTTTTAAGTTATAAGCTACTTACTATTCTTCACTTATTTCTGATTTAAATGTATAGTATGTATAAGACTCAGTATCTACATAGTTGTTAAATAAAATCTACAAGTTTCAAATAATCTATATCAGTTTTGCAAGCATTGTATATTTTATTTTATTTTATTTTTTTATTGATCTAAAAACATCGGCTTCTATGGCCATTAGTTTGACATTAACTTAAATTATTTTACAATTGTATGGTTGACTTATAATAGGGCTTAAATTATGTTATATAGCTGAATTTCTTTAATAAATTGTAGGATTTTGGTGATTGATTGAGGGTCGGGTCCGAGTGCTTCTCCGATTTGTTGTGATATTTGGTGTTTTTTCCTCGTGTCTTCGTATTTTTGACATTCAGTGATAATGTGTTTGACTGTGTAGACCAATCCACACATTTTACATATAGGAGGATCATTTTTCTCCATGAGATGCTTGTGTGTGATAAATGTATGCCCTATTCGAAAACGATTTAGTATGGTTTCTTCTTTTCTTTTTAGTCCTGGTTTGTGCCATGTTTGTATGTTGTTTTTAATTTGGTTTAACTTTGTGCTCTGGTTAGTCCACATTTTGTGCCATTCATGATTTAGGACTTGTTTGGTTTGTTTCTTTTTGTCTTCGTATGTGTATACGTTTAGAAATGGGGTGTCTGGGGAGGAGGCTGCTTTTGACGCTTCTAAGTCTGCTTTTTTATTACCATGTATGCCACAGTGTCCGGGTACCCATACATATATATATATATATATATATATTTTTATTTTATTTTTAGTTAACACTAGTTTATACATTTTGTCAGTTTTGTGTATCAAAATTGTATGTACACATACCCTTAATAAAGACTATATATAATAATATTACGTTATCTATTTTTTATTGAAATATTTGTGTTTCAAAGGTTGTATTGAATATTGTATGAAATGAGCAAAATCGTATGTATATTGTAATATGTTTTAAAACGATTTTCAGATATGGCATGGGTGACGTTGGCCACGAACGATTCCTATTCCCTAGGAGCGTTAGTCCTGGCGCATTCGTTGAAAACCGCCAAGACGGTGCACAAGTTGGCCATATTGATTACCCCGGGTGTAACAACATCGATGAAGTATGTTTATAAAGTCAAACATATTGTGCGCATTAAGATAATGGTCATTGAGACATTATTTTTTTTTCTTCCAGGCAGCAAATCGAAGCCGTATTCGATGATGTTAAAGTAGTTGATGTGTTGGATTCTAAGGATCAAACCCACTTGGCCCTGATGTGTCGTCCTGAATTGGGAGTGACTTTCACCAAACTACATTGCTGGACGTTGACCAATTATGAGAAATGTGTGTTCCTCGACGCAGACACGTTGGTGAGCGACAATTTTTAAAATAGGTTTTACACACTTATAATATTGCGTAGATTCGTACGATGTTCTTTTGAAAGAATGCTCGAAAAGATGTTTACAAATCTAATTAAAGAGTGCGTTATTTCATAAATAAACTTATGTACATATATTGTTTAACATTATCTGTACATATGTGTTGTAGTTCAACAATAAGCTAAATCTATTATTGCGGTTTAAATACTTTCGAAACAATAATAATACTTAAATAGAAAACTAAAGAAACTTTGTTGAGCCTACAAATCAAACAGTTACAATAATTCGAATTTAGAATCTATGTAAACAACTGTTATGAAATTATAGTTTACAATTATTTACATAACCATATTATCGAACAATAATGGTCGTGTCACATTTCAATTAAATTATTGAACACTAGATTTAATCTACTTTATTATTTATCTAATTTAATCATTAGATCTCAATAACAGTAGTCATAAATTAAATATAATTTTATAAAAATAAAACAATTTTTGGTTCAGAATTGGATTAATATTTTTTATTTTTTTAAATTTATAGTTCATTGATTTTTTCTTAACTGTGTTATATTCTAGTATTATCAATAATATATATACATAGTAACTCAAAATGAATTGTAATTATTTTAAAAATTGGTTCAAATATCTATAAAAGAAAAGTCTATATATTAAGTAAAATTAATTATAACTGTAGATAATTACAGTAATTAATATGTAACACATTTAACATAATTATATGTTATATAAAATGTATCTGTTATTTTCATTATTTGAAGTCTTAAATTAATCCTTTATTGTTTTAACTGTAAATTACTCTATTAGTCAATTCACATTTACTGTTCTCACAAAAGGGGTCATTATCCGTTTATTGTACATAAATAAAAATAAATAAATACTTAAATATTATACCTGTATATATCTACGGATTTATATTAAACACACCTCTACATTTCTTAAGATTATAAATTTACTGAAGTACCCCCTCCTCGCTTTAGATGATATTTTTATCGTATTTTCTATGAAGTATTTATTATTTTATAATATCGACTTTAATGCAATTCACAATCACCAAGTAAACCAAATAAGAAGACACTTTGTTTTTAACAAATTAAAAATGGTAACGCTTTTTTAATTTAATATTTTATGACATACTTGGTATTAAAAATCTTTTTTTTTATAATAATTTTACTTAATTCTAGAATTTACAAATGTAGAAAGACATTTCTATATAATACTGTAAAACTATTACATTTAATTAATATGAAAATAATAGAAAAGTCCCAGCTAAAATATAACCTGTGCATTATCTTTCTTTTTATTTTATACTATATTATACAATTTATTAGCATGCTAATTATTATTATTATTGATGGTATCATAACTATATATACATAAATTATTATTATTTTTTGCTTCTTTTCGAGACACACATCTATCAAAACAAGGAAACTTCCTTAAGTGTTAGTCATTGTAGTATAACTTAGAAAAAAATTAATATTAAGTAAATCATTTCAAACTGTTAGATGAATATTTATATTATTATTATTATAATTATTATAATCCTATAAGAACAGAAAATAGAGTTATATATATAGTTTTCCTGAGTAAGAGTTTTATTTTATTTTTTTTTTTTTAATAAACTTCTAAAAATGATCTAGTTTAAAAGTTATAACAAAATATAAATATGTGAAAACGGAAAAATTATAGTAATGATTGTGAAACAGTTTTATAATTTAAGCGCCTATTTATAAATAACTATACTCAATCATAATTTTTTTTGATACGTCTAATGGTATCACTGATAGTTTTTTTTTTTTTTTTTTAATGTTTAGACTATTATGCGTAGTTACGAAAATATATATTTACATAGCATAGTTTTTTATTAGTATTTTTAGATACGTACTAACGCCGAAGTACTTGAAACATTTCGTACTTGGGGTCGTTCCAAAATATTTGAGGTTCTCTACGCATTTACTTAATTCTAATTTTTAAATTGTTCGAATCACTTTGATAAACTCAAGTACAGTGTAAAATAAAAGATTAGTTCTAAAATAGTATTTAATATTGTTTAAAATGTACGTCATATTGTTATTTCTTATTGAAAGCCAATTATAATATATCCTGGAAACTTCTTGTTATGACTGTATAATATAAGAGCATACTACTAAATTAATATATACATTGTACAAGCTTATCATTAAGTCATTAGTGATTGATAAAAACTAATCAGTTGAAATATATATCACTATTTCAATGTGTGTTATATTTAATCTATTAAATTTCAACATAAAAAGGTTATGTAAAGTGATAGTGATGCAGCTATAAATACCCACTAGGAGGCGGTTTTACATTTACTTCAGACATAATTTTTTGGCAAACTCTATTGAATTTAAAGTGCATTAAAATCTGAAAAGTGTGTTTTAATGTTCCCATGGTGACAATAAGTGGAACGATTTAGAAACGTACTATTATTTGACTTTATCTAAACATTTTTATCTTAGTTTTAAAAACCTTTAAAAAAAATTATGTTTTATCAAATTCGTTATGAATTATTAAATCAATCATATCATTACCATCATTGAAATTATTGATAATAATGGTAAAAATGGTGTAAAAATGTAGAAGATATTTATATTTATTTTGTTTGGTGTAGAATGAATAATTCATAAATTATAACCTAATAATTTAAGGACTGTAATATTATTTTAACCTTTTAATGCAAACAGAATAATATTTCTTATATGTAATTGGTTATTTTTAGTGTATTTACATATGTTATAATTTACTATAATCACCAAAAATTAAACATTTGCATAAAAAAAAACTTTTTCATTATACTTGTAAAACAACAACAACCAGCTATTACAAAGTCCAAATTTTATTTGAACTATGTTCAAAATAATGATTTTTGAGCATTATACGTCATACAATTTATCAATCAAATTTATCTATAAAAGGTATTACAAAACTGTGACGAACTATTTGAACGTGAAGAATTATCAGCTGCTCCAGATCCAGGATGGCCAGACTGCTTCAATTCTGGTGTATTTGTGTACAAACCTTCTCAAGAAACTTTCGGCCAGTTATTAGAATTCGCAAGGACAAGAGGATCATTTGATGGTAAAACTATTTTTATTGTACTCATAACAAAATTATTATAATTACTTAAATTCTTTTTTTTTTTTATTTAGGTGGTGATCAAGGACTTTTAAATATGTACTTTAAAGAATGGGCACATACCGATATTTCAAAACATTTATCATTTACCTATAATGTGGTTTGGTCGTCTACGTATTCGTACTTACCAGCGCTTAAACAGTAAGGAATCATTAAATTATTTTTCATACGAAATTTTATATTTATATTGTAATATTGTACATTGTAATATTTATATTGTATTTATTATCTCCAGGTTTGGGCAAAACATGAAAATTATTCACTTTATAGCAGCCAGTAAACCATGGTTGCAATCATTTAATACCGAAACCAGAGTTGTAACGCCAACTTCTGGGGGAACTGGATTGCAAACACTGTTACAATTCTGGTGGGATTTATTTTGTCAATATGTTCACCCCAGTCTTTCCACTGAAATGGTATATAAAAAATTACTAAATTAGGCGATAGCCAGTTAAAATGTGTACCTTGGGATTTAAAATAATAATTATATAAGATCATTGTTTTAACTGTTTGCTTAAACTAACTTGTGTTGTACAAAGTTCAACTAGAAATGTTCAAAGATCCAGAGTTACGACTTCAAAATGGTATGTAAAGTGATTTAACGCTTTACTTATATACATTAGTTTAAGTTTTTAAAATAAACATGCTTACTTGTTGTCATCCTCCATAACTGCTGCTGGGGCTTCTTAGTTCATTTACAGGTCAATTAGCTTTTTGCATGCGCTCTTAGACTTTATTTGTTGTTTATTTTTATGATTTATTTTTACGTTGTTCTATTTTACACAATAACTTGCACCGTTTTGTTTTGTTTTTGCTTTTTTACACAGATAGAAAGTCGCCTCAGTAGCCGTTTTTCCTATGACTTTCATCCCGAAATCCTTCCAGACATTAATACGTCAAATAAATATACTCCTGACAATAATACTTTAAATAATTTTAATACTCCCTCTTACGAATCTCCGAAACGGGATCATTATAATTTCATTGACCCCTGGGAGGAATATTTTGATGCAAATGTGCAAACAAATTACGAAATTTCGGAAAATACAGCTGTTGTGAATGAGGTTGAAAATATCAAAGGTGATGGAAATTTGGTGGAAGTATGTTTGAATAATCATTGTGAAGAGGAAATAAAAAACAATTATAGTACATTCCATTGTGAAGAAGAGCAAACAAGTGATTATAGTTTTCAGAATAATGTAGTAGAATGGAGTATATTTGGTAATGAAGAGAAGAATGATGCAGTGGATTTTGAAAAAGAAATAGTAATAGAGTCCAATGAACCACAACAAGAACTTCATACTAGAGAAAATGATTTTTATCCCGCATGTTATGATGACATTCCTAATAACTCTAACTCCAGTTTGAGTGTAAATAACTGTCGTCCAGACACTCCAACCCATTGCGAGGTACCTAAGGATCAGACTTGTGATTTAGATGTAAGTATTGTATTTGTAATAATAAATTGATTTATAAGTACTTTTGTATAAATAATTGTTAATCGTGAAATTTTATTTTACATGTTTCCTTAAATGTATTTTCGAAAAAGTAATCACTTCAACTTATGTACTAATCGAATATTTCAGGGTGGTTTGGCTGGACAATTCGCTAGGATTTCATTAGGTGAAAAAACAGCTGATCAAAAGGCTTTAGAAGATTTCCTTCGGCGTCAATCCTGGGAACAAGGAAATATGGATTATTTAGGTAAAGACAGCTTTTCTAATATATGGGCTAAGATCAATGAAACTCTGGGAAAAGTTCCCGAAGTTGTAGTTGAGCCTAGTGTCATTAGAGCACCTTCGCCACCAGAAGTAGTCCACAGTGAAGAACCAAAACCATTGAAATCTGCTTTAAAAAAATCTTCAACCACAGTTCCACCGGTAGAATTTGAACTACAAACCGATAGCATTGAGCCACACGTAAAACAATTTGAAAAGCTTGATCTATCAAAGGATATTTTGAAAGAATTAAAAACTCCAGATACTCCTACTGTTACTTCACCGTCACCTCCAACAACACCTACCGCTCAGGCTCAAGAACCACCAAAATCAGAATCCGTAAAAGAAACACCAAAATACGATGTATGTACCAAAGAAATTTCAAAATCAACGGAACAAGAATTACCGAAACCAGAATTAACAGAAGCCGCAAAAGTGATACTAGAATCTGATATCAGTACCGAACTTAAAAAAACTTCAGAGCCAAAATCAGAGGCATCTGTAATAAAACCAGACGAATCAACAAAGGAAGTATCTTCACCAACTAAGACACCGCTTTCTGTCGATAGTACCTTGCCATCAGTATCAAACGATCCACCTGTAGCACCGAAACGCACTAATAAAGGGGCTAAAACTCCAGAGAAAAAATAAGCAGTAATAATATAATCAAACTAATAATATTATGTACAAGTTTTGTTTTGTTCCTCAGAGTAATATATTTTTATTAACAGAAATAGGCTAAACTAATGTATGAACATTTAGAGCCAAAATTTGTTTTTATTGGCTATAATTTCTTGCACTCTATAATTCTTATTTATAAATGCAATTTTCATTAAAATATATTATAACACTAATTTACAAGAAATGAATGATTAAGGATATAATAATATTTTAATAGATATTGAATTTATATTTTTAAAATATGTGAATAATTTTGTTGTGGTTTTTATGTTTGGTTGCCTATACATATTATTTTCAAGGAAAAATAAAGTTATCTAAATTATGTTTACAAAATGACTGTTTTATACCTCACACGTGATTATATATTAATCAAAACACAATCATTTCAAATGATTCAAGTTTTAATGATAAACAAGGTTCTGAACTTTAGGTATTTGCATATTTGTTATAAAGTGCATATTGAAATTCTGGTTCGATACAAAGTTGATCCATACTATACAGATTTGAAAAACATTTACTATTATTATATCATCATTCTGATACTATTTTAGATAAATTAATAAAAATGATTACTTGCATACAATTTTTCCAAAAGATATTTTTCATAATTCATAATAGGTATATTTATTTATGGTATTTTTATATCAAATGTTTTGGAGAAATAAAAATGTAAAAACAAATTTAAACGTAAATATATTAAAAATATGAAAATCATTTGAAAGTTGGGAGGACTTGAAACCAGTAGAATATACCATACGAAAAATTATAAGAAGACTTATACATACACATAAATTGCACTTCTTATGCAAGCCATTATGACTCGAAAAAGTATCGGTATCTTTAAACGTTCAAAATTATAATTCATATTGTGCATAAGAAAAAAAATACAATATAAAATATCATATCCGATTTTAAGAAAACGTGAAATATATTTGAAATTGTTTGTGATTTATTAGCGTTAGAGTGAGCTTAAAATTAATGCACGTTACGGATTACGTTTCATTGTATACCGACAGTCGGAACACTCAAAACTATTACTGTGTTCACCAGCCGTCAAAGATTATACAGATGACGTGTCGATTAATATTTTATCGTTGTTACATAGGACCGGGAAGCGTTCGCGTCTGTTTGCATTCAAATTAAGAAACCGTTATTGTGAGACTCGATAGAAAACAAAAAACACATATTTCTGCGAGAATCCCAGCGAGGGTACACGACCCTTCGCATCTAGTTGTTTCGACGGACATAGTTGAGGTCTGCAATGGTGGCAACTAAAATACGTATCAACTGCGCGTTGGATAACTATGTGCTTTTAAGAATGTAGATTTTCACTAAATCAATCTTCATTGCTGAACGAATAAGATTATTGGCAATGATCGTCTATTAGATTTTAATAAAATATCCTTAATTATAACCGAATGGTCGAATAAATATAATTGATAGATAATAAATAAATAAATATAAAATAATTAAAAACATGATTTTATAAAACGCCAGGTTGGTATACCTAATAAATTTAACTATTTATCGGATCGCACGTTAAAATGTGTTGCACTTCCATCATAATTCACGTATTAATGGCAAATATTTAGAGTTTAGGATACAACAATTTATACTTGGCACACTTATCATCGTCTTACATGTGGTGATTTCATTATTTGCTAAGTTTTCAGATTCTACTGTGCGAGTGTTACTACTGACACCGAGCGAGAAAAGTATTGAAAACAATTAAACCGACCATTTTGAGAAATTATTTTTACGTCAACAGTGCTATTTTAACTGACTACTGTAAAATATTACTTCAAAGCTCGCTCGGAAATATACCCACGCACCATCGTGGTCTTGTGCAAATTCTTATTAATATTCATCTGGTATAGTTTATCGGTAGCCGGATACACTTGCAAAAGTAAAGAAACCAAGTGGGTTAATAACTTCCTACTTAGTGTACTTCCTGTATCGTAGATGCGTTTATTGTACGTGCAGTTTTTTTTTTTTTAAGTTGATTCAATTTGGAAAACAATACATAATTATTATGGGCACTATTTATCTATTATAAATGGATGGAAAATAGATTATGAGTTAACTCACGTTAAAATGCGTTTACATTTTGATAATCAAGTAACAATTTAATTTTAAACATAATAATTTGTTATTAATATATTATATAATATGTAATTAGGTAAAAGTGTCTCTATAAATATTAATTTTTTTCGATTATATTGTGTTCCAATTATATTATCATGATTAATATCAAACGTGTAATTAATCCTAATCGTCCTGCTAAAAATATATTTTTTTATTACACTCATTATTATTATTAAGAATCATGAATATATAGTTGTATATTAGATATTTATAAAATATTATTCAATGCATGCATTATAAATATTTTCATTCACTCGAAATATTATAATTTCAACTGCAAACCTAAAATCTAAAAAGGATTGTTAAAAAATAAATTTTATAAAAATTGAAACGATCAATATGGACTTAAGAAGAACCATTATTTTCTTGCGACACATTTTATTTAAACGGTCCTTTTTATTTTATTCAACTACAGTATATCGATCATAATAGGGCGTATAGATTATTGATACTTATAATAAGTATCTATAATAATTATAAGTATATAAGTATAATAATTACACAATTTTGGTCAGCATTTATAAAAAGTAAAAAATTTATTATTTCTGGATATTTGATACATGTGTTCATATTATTATTATTTATTTACAGGTACTTAACTGCTTTGAACGTTACTTACGTAACCGTAGAAATAAGAAATTTAATCGAAGACAATACGAAACTAATGGGCGCTGTGCATTTTATAAGATAATTACGTCTTTACACGAAACGAATTTATGCGGGTGGTTTATTAAAACGTATTTCAAAGGTTTTTATTGGTGATGGAATATTCAGTTGCACTTATTCCAGTCTAATTGCCTGGTTCGATAACGAAACAATTAAATTATATTATATTATAGAGTTTTTATTTCAATTTAAAAATGATTCATCATGATTTGACTTTCGATTTACAAAAAAACAGACTTATAGTACTAGCAATGGTACCATTAATCTTAACTATACGATAGTTATTGATGTGATGATTACAAATGAGCGTGTTATATTGATAGCATATGTGTGTCTATTCATTTTCGGATTTATCACATAATTAAGTGCATTAAATATGTTAAATGCTTACTCGTAAGATTAACATTTGTATAATAATATTGTTGTGATTTAATGAATTCATCGTTTAAACATAATTATCGATTTCGCTCACAAATGTTTATTTATTTTATTTTATTTATTTATTTCAATAAAATTGTTTGATTAATGATTTTAAAAATGTTCGCAATAGCTATATTTTATCTATAAGTAAAAGTATCAAATATAATTAAGCTCAATAAATTATTTTTTAATAACCTTTTAGTTTGAAGTAGAGTATAACTGATTATTCTAATGAAAAGTGACGATCATGATTATTCCTTTTATTATTTTAATTATGGTTTCTGTTGAAAAATTTTCAGATAATATAAGTACACCATTTAGTATTTCAATAGACTTATTTTAAATAAGTTTTTTTTTAATAGATTTCAGTAACAACGTAAAGTTGTTTTCATTACGTGTTACATCTAAGTTACAATATCAATAACGAGCTTTGTTCTTAATCGTTGTTCGAATATGATAATATTAATCATTGACTTCAAATTTCCATTGACTACGTACCATATATAAACCAAATCAACACATCGATGGGAAAACTCTTTGACTGTGTCTTTTTGAATTCTAAACTAAGTGGTTTTCACTTCTTTTAAACGGTAAATATCTGCGCTAATAATTCCATTTGGAAACTCTTAGCATTGAAAATTCGACACTTACGGTACATCAAAAAGTTATTATGTCCATCAGACACTAATTTGATAAAGTAATTAATTTTAGGTTTAAAGAATTGAAAATGTTAAGCATGTCTAGTTATAAACTATTTGATATATTATTGAAAATTAAATACTTGACTCGAAAAATTTTCTTATTCACTTTTAAAGTACCTATGAATTATGAAATAATATCGATTATTTTCACGAACATCGAAATTTTTATAGACATCCATAAAAGTGCATATAAAATATATTACACCGACCTTCGTTCAGAATCGATTTTCAAATGTTATGATTTATTATTATTTAAAAGCTTATACAGATAATTACGACTCAATCATGAAGGAACTCATGCTTAAACCCAATACCTACCTATATACCTTCTTTCTCATATCTTATCTCATAACAGATTGTGGATTGTGGTTAGCTCTTTTTTCCTCTCATAATTACTATAGGTTTATAAAATATTCCTTTATTTCACGATGAATTTGTGCTACGATCTCAGTACACAGAATAAAATATGTTTGACCTGTGGTTTTAATATATTTTATAAAATATGCAACATATAAACAAAACGGATGTATATTCTGCCGCATCGTTTTATGAGTAATCGAGTGCAATCAATTATATATTTATCTTTTTTAAACAAATAGTTCCAATTAAATTATAAAACAACAAACAAGTATTAACAGTGCTATATTATTTTCTTATTTAAATGTCTTACATTCGAATATGATAAGAATATTGTGATAAGTTAAATTGTCCATACAATACTTTGCATAATACGCACATTTTACAGTTTTATAACTATAAGGATTGAATATAGAATTGCAAAATAAAATAAAATCTATATATTGTAATAAATGAAATATATTACATAATCGTCAATCATTAATTCACTTAACAGTCGATCAAAATTATTAAATGAAATATTTTATGTATATGAGAATCATCTATTATCATTTCAAATATAACCTAATGAATTTCCAATTCAAAATTATTATAATACTTGCTGTAGCACAAATGTCAAACTTCAAAACTTTCAAAACTTGCAAAAATAATTTGAAATTAGTTTTCATTAATACCGAAAGTTTTCTTTTGAAGTAATTCAAAAAATCAATGATACGCAATAACTGTTAATAATATATTGTTACAACTGTAAGCACTATGCCAACATATGATAAGAAATAAAAGAGTATGAAAACGTGACTTATATGCAAAAAGTGAAATGAATAAAAGTGTTGTCAGAAATGTATTTTTAATTTATGATGAAAGATAATATGATAAAATTAAAAGTAGAATTGTTGATCATTAAGCGACGAAATCTTTGTTGTTAGTTGTAACGATTTATGATTTTATATAACATCAAGGAATTTGTCAAATTTTGACAACTTTTTAATTTTCACAAAAAAAAATTTATTGTAGCAATTAATGAAAGTTATAAGCCTTTTACTAACTCAAAAGTATTCTTATTTGAATTTAAAAATATATTACAACTATTCAATGTTTATGTTGTAGTTGTAGTATTTCAAGGATTAAAATTGTTTTTACAAATTTAGTTTGACGGTTCACAGTGTTTACTTTATTTAACTGTTTTATCTTAATAAATTGTCAGATGGCATAATTTGTTATCAAAATGCAATAAGTATAAAGCAGTGGTTCTCAAAACGTTTACTTAGTGGTACCTTTTTTGAACCAATTTTAGTCATGATGCTCAACAATGAATACCACTAAGAGCATGTATACATAGTAAACGATCATAAAATACTAGTTTTATTTTCATGCGAACCGTGGTTTCCGGTTAGGTTAGGCTAACTTCTCGAGTGAGAATCGCTATTATAAAGTATTATCGTGTTGAAACAAAATTTGGTATTTTTGAAAGATACCCATCGATAATGTTCAATATCTTAGATCTAACGTCTTTTCTATTTGTGTTTTATTTCATGAAAGTAGTATATTTTCGTACAAAATTAGTTATGACCGAGTTCATTTTTAACTTCTAAGAGTTTGTAAGTAGAACTTAGTTTATAACAGTGTGCGTATGTTATATTTAAGATGATATTGTAATATAAGTAAGTATTGGTCAAGTATATGTTTATAAAATAATATATTTAGTCTAAAATCTAATACTCGAGAAAATCTAAGTCAAACTATCAGATTTAATCAACATATAACTGATTTAACGTATCATTTATAAACTACTAGAGCCTTTTACCGACAATTATATTAAAAATAATATTAAATCTTGGTCCACAACACAATAAATAAAACATATGCTTAATGTTATTATTATAATAACGAAAAGAATAACATTGATCTTTCTGTGTATGCTCTTATACAACAAAGTACCTACACACTACATACTATACAGTCTATAAATGAAATCGATCAGGGACTGGATGGATGTGCTATAAATAGTAATCAGGCATATCTAATAACTACGGAACATAAAATTACAAAATCGTTAAAATTTTTCATTAATAACTATATTATATTCCTAACATATTATTTAAAGATTTTTGATTTTGTGTGATACTGATTAAAGTTTTAAAAAGAACCACAGTGTATAGACGCTTAGATTCTAGTATTTGATGTCAGTTTCCATAGTTCGTATACATTTTTAAGCAACGATCAACTATCATGTCAGTTGAAAAACGACTATGAACAAAGTCGGTATAATTTAACATTTCGATATAATTAAACATTAATATTGATATTTTGAATAGAATTTCATTGTAACTCAATTATAGCACGTGATAAAGGAATTATATTCGCTTATAGCTCAAACTTAGATCTTAAAACTCCAACTTAATCATCTATTTTAATGTTATAGCAAGTGAAGTAAAACAAAATCACACCGATATTAATCTGAAGATTAATGTATAAGTTAACTAATATACCTCAATACCTAGTTAAAAATAATTTTATCATAAGAAATCGTTTGTTATAAGTTGTATTGTTGAACGAAATTAAACTTTATTTAAAAGTATACGCTAAAAATTATTTATATATCAGAAAAACAAATATGAAAAAATCTAAAATAATGTTTTAACGAAAGCATTTATATTTGAGTTCCAATAATTCAAAAAAAAAAAAAAAAAACAGATTTTCGCGAGCAGACTTCCGACACAGAAAACGCAATCGTCATTTACGGTTTGAATTTGAAATATGATTACATTGCAGCAAACTTGGTTTACAAGTGTTAAACAGTAATTTTACCCATTTTCGAGTAAATATTCATTTTCAGATAGAGAGCCTTCGACGACGCATAGAAATCATCCACGTAGGCATACTGTTTCGGTTATCTTTTTTTACAGAGTGTGTATAATGTATGGTAAACACACACACACGATACGATAAAAATGTTAAACCCTTTTCAGACGGTGCGACCTTGAGCACGGCAACATCAAGTGTACAGTGTACCAGTGCACCCTCTTCCGGCGAAGGCCGCGTATGGCAGGTACCTCTACAGGTATGCAACGGCAGGTAAGGCAACTCAACGTTTCTAGGGCCGAGGTCACGCTACGTACGCTACAACCGTCGTTACGTGTTGCGGACGAATATCGTCCGTATCGCGGTATACGTTCGTATTACGTTCGTGCGCGAATAAAGCTGTTTTTAACAGTTTTGAGCACCGACACACGATCCAATCGACAATTAATTGCAATACGTACCGTATGTTGCGTACAGCACGGCTAACATTATTGACCGTGGTTTTATTCGGTCGATTTGTTTTTCCACTAAACGACGAACGGTTGCGCGTAGTAGTGCTCCGATTGATCGTGGAACAAATGTACGTACTGCCAGTGCCGCGTTAAGCTGTGTAGTCGCCCCGGAACAAATTAAAATATGCCACCCTTGAGAAAATTACAATTCAAAGTAAAAAATAATATACGTAATAGAAATAATATGTATTATAGTTGTATATTTGTACAAGAAAAATTATAATCATATTTTTTTTATTTTATGTTGATCCTCAAAAATTTGCCACCCCGGGGCAATTTCCCCCCTTTACCCCCCGTTAAACGCAACTTTGCGTGCTGCACCCCGTCCCGTTGACGACCGTACGTTCCGCGAGAGCTGCCACGGCGACAGACAAGCGACATTGCGATTAACCGAACCGGTGCATGCAGGGAACGGTACGAGATAAAGTGTTTGGAGACGAGAGGTGCCGATTTCGGACGACGTCGAAAATCCCCAACAACCTTGCACCGTGTGGACCGGCGCTGGTGAACGGGGGTCGTAACAAGTGCGTTCGAAATCACGTCCGATGACGTCTTGAGGACGCGATCTTCGTGGCGTGCGCGTACTGCACCGAGAGACACGGAGATCCTTCGCGCGGGATAGTTTTGCGCGCGCCGGCCGCCGACCGAACGAGTATTTATAGGTCGGCGGCGCGGTGAAACGAACAAAATTTAATAACGATTGTCTCGAAGACTTCCGAACCGGACGTGGAAGCGTAACACGCGCAGCAGCAGCAGCAGCAGCACACATGGCGCGAGAGAAAATAAACTGTTCGGTGACGTAATTTTATACGTCTAACGAATGTGTGCAATACGTCTAGTGGCAATTGGACTAAGTCCGTCGCCGGGCGCCGCCGTTCGTTTATGAATGACCTCTCTTTAGCGTCGTCGTAGGGCCCAGAAGATGGTGGTCGCGGGTGGCGAGGGGAGTCCGAAGAACGTAGTCGTCTCTTCGAACCGGGGCAGTGCGTCCAAAACAGGGGCACGGACCGACGGCATGAGCGGCGGCGGGCCGCGTGCCGGTATGCGGTTACACTGCGCCGCCCGACGTGTCGACGACTAGGAGTCCCCACCGCTTATTAGGCGTTCCGCCGCCGGTCGGACTGACGGTGTGTGCCGTGGCGGTGCGTGCGTGCGGGGATCGAGCTGTGATACTAGTTGCGCCAGCCAGTTGCCAGTTCGTCGCCACTCGCCGCCCCACAGTTTTGGAGTGAACGCGTTTGTGTTCGGTCCGTCCGAGCCCGTTCGGTAATGTGCGCATGACGTCGTCGGAAAAAATAATTAATAATTTTTTGTGATAATAATAAATAATACGTGTACTACCGCTGCTACTAGTGCTATACATAATATTACCAACGACGAGACGGAGACGTCGTATAGTTTTATTTATTTAAATTTTTTATTTTTATTTTTTTTTTTTTATCATCGTTGTAACGTAGTACCTAGTCGAAGGTGTTGTTGTTGTTGTTATTATTATTATTGTTAACGCTACTACTATTATTTATTATTATCATCATCATTATTATTATTATTATTATTACAATACCATCGTCACCCGTCGTCGACGCGTTATTAATCCCACGGTCGGTACCTGTCGCGCCGCGTCCGCGTGCACCACGTATACGCACGACGACGACGACAACGCCTCGCTTGATGTGCTCCGGCAGCCGTTGACCGAACGAACACACTGTGCGAAGACGTCATGTCCGGCTTACAGCAGCAGCAGCAGCAGCAGCAGCAGCAGCAGGAACAGGTCACCATCAAGATGGAACCGTCGGACCCGAGCAGCCCGGCCACGGCTGTTGCCGCTGCCATCAACAACAACCTGGTGGTGCGGGTGGACCAGGACTCGGAGACGGACCTGCAAGCGCTGTTCGACACAGTGCTGAAGCCGGACGGGAAGAAACCGCTGCAGCTGCCGTTACGCATGCGCCAACTACCCAAGTCGTTTTTTAACCCGCCGTCCACGGGCTCCAAGTCGTCATCCATATCGCACAGCCGCGAGAACTCCGGCGACTCGGCTTTCGGGACGGCACCGTCCATCGGCCAGTCGTGCGTGGCCGGCGGTGGTCCGGGGCCAATGCACTCGCGCGCTCACAGCTCGCCCGCCTCGCTGCAGCAGACGTACGGGGTCAGCGCGGCCAAGCAACAGCAACAGCAGCACGTCAAGCAGCGCAGCTACGACGTGTCCAGCGCCATCGATGAGTTGGGCCCGCTGCCTCAGGGATGGGAACAGGCCCGGACGCCCGAGGGACAGATTTACTTTTTGAAGTGAGTGCTGAACTGTGTGCGTGTCGTACTGTATTGCTTGTTGGTGTAGGGTAGTGCATGCACGCCGAATAAGTTGCGTGGAAACAAACCCTTGCAGTAGAATACTCTTAGTCTATATAATTGGGATAATAGCGTTAGGACATCACACGTTTACATTTCCAATTTACATTTATATTTATATATATATATACATGCCGTTGCGCGATCAAGATGCTTCTTTTTTTTCTACTCTCACCGGTCCGTCCCGCCCTACAGGCTCCCCCTGCGATGCTTTTTTCGACGAGACATGCTGGTTATTTTGGCGACCGCGATGTCCAGACACGGTCTCCGTCGTCGGTCTATATTTAAACGACAGGCGCGCCAGACTTTAATATAGCGACCCGCCGTCGAACCCTTTCGTTCCCGTGTTAATGTCGTGTAAAATGTTCGCTTGTAGATGAAGCCCTTGAACGGCGCCGAATGTAATATCGTTATTGCGATGCAACCAAAAACCGTCACAATGTCGAACGGATCGGCGGTTGTGTAATAACAGGTACCTAACTCGAGTACCGGTCACTAGAATTCGAATGTGTGAGGATGAAGGGGGGTAGTTGAAAATCGAACTGTCGAGATTAATTAACGATGGAGAAGTGAACCCGACGTCTAATGATTCGATCCGTCAAGGTGTTTGAGTCTTCATCGTGACGTCGAAGTTAACATTGTGTAAACTGTAAAACAAGTTTGATGGAAGATGATGCGAATCCCACAAATTTGACGTATTCGATCGTCGTGTATCGTGAAACATCGTGCGAGCGTTTACTATTCTAAATAACTGTGAATAACCGTAAACATTGATTTATAGACAAGTTAAATATTTCCCGTGAATCGCCCCCTTAACGTATCAAGTTTGACGACAAAACCCCACGCAGCAATTATTATTGTAGTATTATGTTTGAAAAACTGTTCATTTACAACACTAAATCTCAATACTTAGCGCGGTATTGTTTTTACTATCTTAAGAAAACACATGACTGCATAAATGTGTCAACAGTCCAATACTTCATAATGTTATCACCTAGCTGGTCTATATCTATAAAATAAATAATCAATATTATATATGATGATATATGATGATATAACAATGTTATTTTATGCATTTTATACTGTTCAAATGTCAAATCCATTCCTATGTAGTATATAACTGGACATATTTTCGAAATGTAAATGTCATATGATATAATATTTTTTGCCTGCGCTTTTGATAAAATTTTCTGTTGGCATAAGTTTTTATAAATCTATTTAATTTGTTGCCATAACTGTAAAACCAGTTAAAATTCTTCCATTTATTATTGCACCAGTACAATAAAATTCTTATTTTGTATCAAAAATCTAATGTGGTCTATCTGACGTTGGACTAGTTTTATTTTTTTAATTCTCAACATCGCGAATGAAACATATAATCGATTATATTCATAACATAAAAGGGCTATATTTTAATGCCAAAGTGAGTGAATAAATAGTATACTCTACTAAAGCCTTTAATTAACGCCTAAATAATTATTTTGAACATGAATGACGACCAATAGCATTATGTTCATGTAATGTAGAAATATTAATGCGTGATTTAATTATTCAACTATGATAATATTTTTATTCTTAAGTGTTATATTATATAAAATACAATATTCCGGTGAGGGCCCCTATAACATATGTACTAATCTAAACGATTCTTGTTATTAATCGGACATACATGTCAGAATCAAAACATTTAATGTTGTAAAAGGTAAATGTGTGAAATTAAAGTTACGATCTATTTCTTTTATATATTTTTTGTGAACAGATAATAAAGACCCAAAGAGTTAACCTTAAGCGGTTTGTAAGTGATAATTTTCCATTTTTGTCCATATCACGAGTAACATGGCAAAAATAAATGTATTCCAATATATTGCGTACTTACTGATCGATCTAGTAATGAGATATGAATTTTAAAAATCAGTAAGTTGTACATTGTTAGTCGTTTCATCAACTCGATTTTAATTTTCACATACATCAATTTTTTTTTTATTTTTTTATTTTTGGGATTTAAATTCCCTCAAAAAAAAAAAAAAAAAAAAAAAATGAAAAAATAAGTTTTTATCTAATCAGTTTTCAGTTTTTTCAGTTTTCTTATAATTTCTCAGTATTCAGTACGTAAGGTACCTCTTCCAGCTTCTCAAAGTTACCAATCATTAATATTTGATATCATCATTATTCCAGTAACATTAAATATTAAGGAAAGGATATTAATATTACTTTTACAAGTTTATTATAAAAATGTTAATTCTGACGTATGATGTTTCAGTAATCGTTTAGATCATGCAGTAAATTGTGTAAAAATCCAATTTTAAATAATCCAAATGTAACTGTCGCCGAATAATTAAATTAAATTAACATATTTATATTATAATATCGAGAATCATTCAAGTTTCAAAATAATTACTAATTAGTTTTTATATTTCTATTTCATTTAAAAATCAAATACAAAAGAAATATTTATTGTTACCTATACTATATCATACATATATATATCTGTGTATTGAATATTATTGGATATTTGATAACTTGAAGCAATGACTGAGTTGATTAAAATGGTCACTAAGTGGCAAATACTACTCGGCGTTATGTGTTCGTTTTAAATTTCCTCATATATGCAAATACACATGTACACGATACACACATATATATATTTTACACATTAGACTAGTTCACGAAATGTCAATACTTATTTCAAATAATAAATTAAACAATGATCGACAAAAACACGTTCACAAAAGTTATTAATTTTATAACTAGGATCTCAAAGATTCTTTCGTCTCTATCATCATGCTATAAACATTTTAAATTGAAATTTTTATTTTTGTAACTTTGCACGAAATAATAAATTATAATATATAAATTGATACAGATAATTTGTGCTAAGTCTTATAGTACTGAATTTCAATATACTATTTTGATTCAATGTTTTACAAATAGTTCGTTGTTCGTCATCATGTTTTGATAGTTTGAACGTGGGCATTGAAAATCATTTGAACTCAAACTGTAAATATTATAATGTGGTCCATAGACGTAATCAACATTCGTATACGTATTAAAAATATAATTCAAAGTGTTTTTTTTTTTTGTCTGCAGTACATAATAGTATACATTACACCCACGCACGCTAGTTTCGTCGAAATAGCTAAAATCATATTATACATGTATATTCTTCTTCAATATTAATGTCTAATTTTAAACTCAACTTTGCAGCGTTAATTTAATACATTAACGTCTTGGTTACGAGCTAATTATTCTCGAGAGTTTCATCACTGACCAATTTTAGATAAATGTATAAACTATTATCATATTATCATCCTTTTTCTGCTATTGATAATTATAATACACCGTTTATTAATCAATAAGACCAACAACGACTATACAACATTATATACAATATTCAATATACAATATTTCAGGGGTACCCGTGTTTATAAAATTATTTTTTTCGTACGGAAGTTAAATGATTGATTGACTATTTAGATTTGTGATATTCGAAACGTGTAAGTACAACATTTACGGTGTATAAAATTGCAGATTAAACGTTTAAAACCATTATTAATCCGTGCAACGCATACATAAAAATATTATGTTATATTATAATGATTGCCTTTGCGATCGTATTATACGTGTACGTTACGGAGCTATAGAAAAAAAAACATCTACGGTTAATTTGGTATCGATTAAATTCGCGAAGGCACTTTTCGTAACTCTAACAGAATTATTGGAATAGGAAAAAAAAAATTAAACTTGATTTTCGTATAATACACAAATCATTGCAATCGCATTGTTTTTCATTTCGAGTACTTCACTTCTTGGTTGTAGCAACTCTCCAAGGTTTCTTGTACCGGTTTTGGAATTTTGAAATACATCACGTGTTACAACAATGATTTTTTTCTTCGCTCGAAATCGTGCCAAAAGCCCCATTACGCAGTGGCACCGGCGGCGCGTGTGTGTGTCTCATGCGATTACGAGGAAATGTATATATTAATAATATGCGTGAACTCGTATACGTATGCGTGTATAGGTAATATGGTCGTGGTATATACCTGCGCGTGGAGTAGATATATAGGAAAAAAAAAGTATTCGTCTGTCCATGCGATATTGCATAGAAGAAAAGAAAGCAGCATGCTGAGAAACCTAGGTCGGAGCGGGGTGTGATCGAGGCCAAAGCAGATACACAGACGTACACGTACACCACTGTAAAACTGCAGCGCAGTGAGCCCCGAGGCGGCTTGGCAAACCTCTTATAATGTACCGACTTTTTCTCCGCCTCGCCTTCGGAAGAAAAAAAAATGTATACGTTTATACATATTTATATTCGAGTGTACAGGTATAGTATGAACGTGCGTATATTATAATAATTGTATGACGTACTACCGGTGTGACATTTCATGACGACGACGTCTACGACATATGTGTGCGTGTGCGTTTTTTGAAAGAAAACGTCACTGCGGGCCAGGGATGAATGCAGAAAAAAATTTCTTGGAGGGGGGGGGATTGAAAAAATATAAAATGTTACGGGTCCATGGAGCCACGAGAAGATATTACTTTTGTGTACGTTGTAGGTGGAAAGAATGAGCAAAAAAAAAAAAAAAAATTTGAGATAGACGTTTTCCGATATTTTATTTTTATTCAATTTGTGTGTACTAATTTTTCATAAACGTGCATATGCCGCGCGTTATACACGTTTTAGCGACATCCGTATTCCGATTTAAATGTTTACGCACGCACACTGATACACGCGCGCGCGTGCATGTATATATTTTAAACAGCAAATTTCCGGTATGTCAAATCTCAAGAGGAACAGGAAAAAGTTCGAGATATCAAATTTCATTAAAAAAATAATGTTTAAAAAATTTTAAAACTTAGTAAATAATTGCAATACTTAAAATACAAATACTACATACACATCAATGAACTTCAATATTTAATAAATTCATTTTTTT